TTTGGGAGGAACGGTTGGTGAAAGGGCTGGAGGGAGGCAGCATGTCTGGCCTTGCAGTAATAGGCCTTGGGTTACTGCTGGTAATCCTGTCTTCCTCTTGTGGGATTAGAGGAGGTCAGAAACATGTGGCCTCCTTGCCCTTTTTGCAAGGACATATATACAAAACCAACAGCAAACATTTTTCTCAATGGAGAGGGACTGAAACCATTCCCCTTGTGAACCAGAACCAGACAAGGATGCCCTCTATCACCACTTCTATTCAACACTGTATTGGAAGTCCTAGCCAGGGCAATAAGGCAAGAAAGGGAAATTAAAGGCATCCAAATTGGTAACTCAGAAGTAATGCTATCCCTATTTGCTGATGATATGATCCTATACATAGAAAACCCAACAGACTCAGCAAAACAAGTACTGGAACTAATTGAGAAGTTTGGCATAGTGCTGGGATACAAGAGCAAGATACAAAATCAGATGGATTCCTCTACATCAGCAAAGAAATTGTTCACAAGGAAATAAGGAAATCGGTAACTACCAAAAAAAAAAAAAAAAAAATTCTTGGGAATACATCTCACTAGGGACACAAAAGACCTGTACAAAGAAAACTACAAATCACTGCTCCAAGAAACCATAAGAGATCTACATAAATGGAAGAACATGCCATGCTCATGGATAGGAACATTGAACACTATGAAAATGTTACTACAACCCAAAGCAATCTATACATTTAATGCAATCCTAATCCAGATCCCATCAGCATTCTTTAAGGATATGGAAAAAACAATCACTAATTTTATATGGAAAGGAAGGAGACCTCGAATAAGCAAACCATTATTGAAGAAGGACAAAGGAGGAGGTCCCACACTCCTGGATCTCAAAACCTACTATACAGCCACAGTAGTCAAAACAGCCTGTACTGGTACAATAGACCAGAGGAATAGCACTGAGAACCCAGAAATAGATCCGTCAACCTATGGTCAGCTGATTTTTTACAAAGAGCTGAAATCCATTAAATGAAGAAGAGCTCATCTCTTTAACAAATGGTGCTGGCAAAACTGGATATCCATTTGCAGAAAAATGAAATAAGATCCATACCTTACACCATACACAAAAACTAACTCCAGATGGATCAAAGACTTAAATGTGAAACCTAAAACTATAAAGTTCCTCAAAGCAAAAACAAGGGCAAATTTAGGGGCCCTAATCCTACTTCTGTAGTGATATGCCTCGGAATCCCAAGGAGGGGTCACTATGAGTCGGGGCCAACTCGACGGTACATTAACAACAACAACAATTGATGGCATAAATAGACTGTCAAACATAACCCAAAACGTACAAACAGCTAAAGATGAACTAGGTGAATTGTTGTTGTTTATGTGCCGTCGAGTCAGCCCTGACTCATAGCGACCCCTCCTTGGGTTTCCGAGGCAGTATCACTACGGAAGTAGGATTGCCCAACCTTCCTTCCGAGGAGTGGCTGGTGGGTTTGAACCGCCAGCCTTCTGGTGAGCAGGCAAGTGTCTTAGCGGACCTTCTAAAAATTAGTTTTTATGTGCTTCAAAAGACTTCTGCAAAAGAGTCAAAAGAAAACCTACAGATTGGGAAAAAATATTTGGTAATGACACATCTGACAAGGGAACTTATCCCTAAAATTTACAGAAAACTCCAACACCTCAACAAAAAAAAAAAAAATTAACAATCCAATTAAAAAATGGGCAAAAGACATGAATAGACACTTCATCAAAGAGGATATTCAGGCAGCCAGCAAACACATGAAGAAATGCTCACAATCATTAGCCATCAGAGATACAAATCAAAACAACAAGATATCATCTCACTTTAGCACTAACGGCAAAGTTCAACAAGACAGAAAATAAATGCTGGCAAGGATGCAGGGAGATGGGGACTCCTATACACTGCTGGCGGGACTATAAAATGATAGCAACCATTGTGGAAAGCAGTATGGTGATTCCTTAAAAAGGTGGAATTAGAAATACCATTTGACCCAGAAATCCCATTACTAGGTATATATCCTAAAGTGACAGTTGAGGCAAGAACAGATATATGAACACACATGTTCACTGCAGCACTACTTAAAATTGAACAATTAAAAAAAGATGGAAACAACCTAGGAGCCCATCAAAAGAAGACTGGATAACCAAGCTATGGTACATACACACAATGGAATACTATATGCAATGCTAAAGAATAATGGACAATCTGCAAAACACTGCATAATATGGATGAACTTGGAAGACATTATGATGAGTGAAATAAGTCAATCACAGGACAAATATTGTATTAGGTCATTATTGTAAAAGTCAAGGAAAGGTTTATATATGGAAGGAAACTTTCTTTGCAGTTTACCAAGGGTGGGAGGGGAAGGGAGGAAACACTGTAAAACAAAACAAAACAAAACAAGCATTGACCCACATCACTTTAGTTTTGTGTTTATCAGTGTACATAAATTTATTTCAATAAAATGTAGGGTTTTTGTGTTTTTTTTTTTAAAAAAAAAAAAAAGAGCACATGATTATGGGGTGAATGACCTCACTTTAATTTCATAACCACTAACCTGCAGTGGGCACCTACTGTTACTTGGCATCCCTAGTCCATTAACTTCATCCAACCCATCACCTTATTCTCTCTCTTCAAGCCTCTATCATCTCCTCTCCAGTTCTCAATGTCAACTGAGTCCCTGCTTCTCATTTCATTGAGAAAAAAAAAAGAAGTAGCAGCAACTGGATGAGTGCTCCCAACAGATCTCAATATTATTTTCAGACTTATCCACATCTACTTAGTATAATGAGTGAACCAATTCCACATACTCCTAACTCTTCAATTCTCCCACTCTTCCACCAGATTCCTTCCATCTTTTCTCACCTAAAAAAGGACACTGCACTCTCACCACCATTTCCTAATTTTCTACTGGTTCTTTCCTATTCACATCAACATGTGCTGCTAATTCTCCCTTCTTCAAAAACAAAAAGCAAAAAAACTGCCTTACTTCATTGTTCACTCTCCACAGTACTATATACACTTTTCTACCTTCCTTTGTCCCCAACCTCTAAGAATTGTCTATATACTGTCTTCAATTCTTCCCATTTTCATCTGTGCTCCATTAACTCCAATTAATTGCAAATGTTCTTATCAACATCATTAATGAACTCCACCTCCCTCATCAAATCCTCAATCCACAAGTCATGTTTACTTGACCCCTGGCAATTTTATACCACTGCTTATGCCTTCCTCTTTGAAATATTTTCCTCTCATGGCTCCTAAGAGTCTAAACTCTCATGGTTTTCATCCTCCCTCATCTACCATGTCTCTTCTTCTGACCTTTCATGGGGTAGTATCCAGGGGTCAGACCAGTGCATCTCCTGTCTGCCTACACTCACATCTTTGGTTTTATGGTTTGGATTATTAACTATACAGTGATGGTTCCCAAATTTTTATCACTAAATTCTCTCTCCTGAACTACTGTTTCAAAATATCTACTTGGATGTCTATCAGGGGTCTCAAATTTAATATATCCAAAACCCATCAACTGATCTTCCTCCAGAAATTTACTCTTTGGTGCAGTCTTTGTTACCTCAGTTTATGGCAACTCTATTCTTTTAACTGTTTAGTCTAAGAACCTTGAAATCAAGGATCTAATCCATGACTCTTCTTTCTCACATATTATAATGCATAAGCAAATCCTCTTGGCTTTCTATTAAAAACATGTGCATCTATTTCTCACTGCTTTCACAGCTATGAAGCTTGCCTAAGTCACCATTATTTTTCATTTGGATTACTGTCATGGATCTCTACTCTTCTACCTGCTGGTACACTTCTTTTTCTACAGTCTACTTTCAAGGTAACAGTCAGGGTGATGCCTTCAAAACATAAGTGAGACCAAATCATATCTCCTTTCAAAATCCTTCCATGGCTTCTTATCCTTTCAATCACCTATGATCTGACCCCTTTGCCACTTCTCTGCCCTCATCTACCACTAGTCTGCCCTTAGTTCATTCCACTAGCTTTACTTATACTCACTGTTCCCTCTGCAACTTTTTCTCTTCATATATACAGAGCTCTTTTAAATCCTCTAAGTTCTTTGACCATATGTCAGCTTTTCAGCAATGTCTTGTTTGGTCATTTGATTTAAGTTCAATCTTTCTTACTCTTTTGTAAGAGGATAGTTATTACTAATCAGTTGAAGTATTTTTTCAGCAACTGATACATACAGAGCACAATGCTACCGGTTGTTGTTGTTGTTTACCGTCGAGTTGGACCCGACTCATGGCGACCCTTCCTTGGGTTTCCGAGGCAGTATCACTATGGAAGTAGATTGCCCAACCTTCTTTCCAAGGAGTGGCTGGTAGATTAAAATTTTCATTTCTAGCTGATTTTTCATAAATGTTATTCATGTATTATAAATAAATAGTTTAATGGCTCAAAGTATTTTTTTAAGCTTTCTCAACAATTCACATGTTGCAAAAGTTCCTTTCTAATGCTAACAGATAAAGCATACTTTTTTCTTGAGAAACAAACAAAAACAAACTGTTAATAGTATACAAACCACAGACTATGTTAATGTAAAATGCGCTATTACTGAGGAAAAATTAGGATACAGTTTACTTTCACAATAAAATTTATTTACATACCTGCACAGAATATCCCTGGGACTTCACTCCTGACTATTAGGGTCCGCACTTTCTTATCAGATTTTAAAGCATCCACAGCTTTTGATAGCTAAACAGAAAAAGGGAAAATAAAGAGGAAAGAAGTGGAAAAGATCATTTTCGTATTTATGTCAACATTTCACCTAAAAATTAGAAGCAAATAGTTTTATCTTTACACTCACCATTTTTATAAGATTTTTACTGATTGCATTTTTGGCATGTGCTCTGTTAATTCCAAGCACCACAATTCCTAGTTAAAGGGAAAGAAAAAAAAAAACAGCACAAGTACATGAGTTAGTGAGGTATTTACAGTACAAAGACTCAAAAACACATATTTTCTTAACTGTGGCTTGGGACTTAACAAACCTGCAACCTTACTGATGTTCATTTTAAGACTGTTATCATTATTTTATATGTTTAGTTTTCTTTTCAAAATAAGTGTATTTTTAAATAATGTGGTATTTATAGCTTATTCATGAACTCAAGTTCATATAAGTTAAATATTAACCCTTTTCTTTGGCACTTTGATGAGAAAACTTTGACATCATATTCCCTTCAATTTATCTCTTCCTAAGCACCACCAAAGTAATCTACTGTATTTTTCTACACTGAAAAGCAGCATATACTATAATAGTACTAAATGAGAACAGAGGGCATGCTTAAACAGAATATTATTTAAAATATGGTTTTCTCATCTATGGTATACACAAGAAATAATAGCTAACAAAGCCTTGTCAAATCCAAGTACTGCAGGACCTGCTTTTAGCTAGAATATCTATATCTACTGCTAATAGCTCTTACATACTTTTTATCATACTATATAGTTTTCAGTATTTCCATCCCAGGTTTTTATCCTTACCTCTGTCCCATTCACTTAACAACTAAGAGTACTTCTAATTGGAAGTACAAGCAACTCCAAATTCTGTTAATAAAAAACAAAGGTGCAGAGTTCCAGTAAGATGGTGGAATGTTGTTGTTGTTGTTTGCCGTCGAGTCAGCCCCGACTCATAGCGACCCCTCCTTGAGTTTCCAAGGCAGTATCACTACGGAAGTAGGATTGCCCAACCTTCCTTCTGAGGAGATGGTGGAATAGGCAGACAAATTACATAGACCCTCTTCAACAAAGAAAAGGGGAACCAATTAACACAGATACAGAAGATAATCCTAGAGCCCGGAGCTTTGAAAGGAAGGATACAAAAGTGGACTAAATTCCAACTAGTAGAAGAACCTCCATGAAAACAGCAGAAAAGGAGACATACGGAGCTGCGGTCTCTCAGCAATCCTGATGGCATGGTCAGCCTATATATTGCCAAGTGGTATTGCCAACCTAAAACACAGGCCTGCTAGTCAAGGGCTACATGGAGAATTGCACTGGTGGCTGGGGAATAAAAGGCAAAGCAGCAAAGAGGGAGACAGACTGAGCTGTAGAATTTTGGCTGTCTGGAAGGCGCAGTCATTTTGAACGTTTATACACTGTTCAACTATTTTGGATATTTAAAGCAACAGCATTCTCTCAGATTCTAGGAACCTAAGAATAGGCTCCACTTGCCAGGGACCCCAAGGACATTCTAGACATGAAAGACTGGAAAGATAGTCCTTTGTGACCAGAGATACAGCAATCTCTCACTCTGACCCACCTTCTGGGTTGGCAGGAAGTCTATCCCAGGCTGTGTGATCTGACAGAGGCTGAGTGCCTTGCCCTGACATTTCTTTTCCCCCTTTTTTTAAAGTTTGTTTTTGTTGGCTTAAAAATTATTATTATTTTTTTTTTTGGTCCTTTATATTATTATTCTTTCTTCATCCCTTCCCAGGTTGTAGTTTATACCTTTTTCTCTCTTCCCTATTCCTGGTTCCCATTTTTTTCTTTCTTGAGGTTCTCTGCATTCTTTTTTTTACTTTTTGTACTTTTGCCATTTTATTCTTCATTTTTCTCCATCTCTACCTCTTTCCTCTTACTCTTCCCCTCCCCAGATATTGCCAAGTGCCCCCTCTATTTTTCTATGTATATTTCTTCTGGATTTTTAAAGTATTTCTTTAAATATTTTCTCATTTATTGCCTTTCCTCTTTTTTTTTTTTTTTTTTCTCTTTGGTGATTGTTCCTGTGTGTTTATACATTGTTCAATTTGTCCACTTCCCTTTACTTTTTTCATGGTTTCTTGATTGTTTTTAGCTAACTTTGTGGGAGACAGCAACCACGCCCACACGTCCTATAGCTCCACTTACAGAGTGAGAACCATCACTTCCTTCTGCAACAAATGGCCAATGATACATGACCACCAATAAGAGCCTGACTCATTCTTAACTGTTCTTCACACACAGTTAACAGAAATCTGTGCAGCTATTCCCATTCTATAGGAGCTCTGGTAGCATAGTGCCTAAAGCACTTGACTGCAAACCAGAAGCCTGGAGGTTCAAACCCACCAGCCACTCCTCAGAAGGAAGACTGGGCAATCTACTTCCATAGTGATACTGCCTTGGAAACCCAAGGAGGGGTCACTATGAGTCGGGGCCGACTCGATGGCACATAACAACAACAACAACAACATTCCCATTCTATATAACACCCACCAGGAGAAAGGTGGTGAGTGTATTAAATGCTATCAACTAAAAAACAGAAGAGCACAGTACCATGCTTGCTCAGATGCATACATATAAAAAAAACAAAGCAAATGAAAATATTGGATGAATCACTCCATCATACAATCACCAATTAAATATAAATACAACAAAGTGACAATGTCTCAAAGACAACAGACCATCGCAGTCCACACAAAGAAATAAGATAAAGAGGAAGAAACAAGGGAGCAGGATACAGACTCAGAACACATCATGGACGAAACACAAGCATTGGAATACCTGATAAAGAATTCAAAAGAATTATATTTAGGTACCTTCAATGAGAGAAAGATCAAGGAAAACACTGACAAAATTAAGAAAAGCCCAGATAAAACCCCAAAACAATTTCAGAAGAAAACAAGAACAAAATGACAAAATAAATAAAAAATTAGAAATGATATAAAATCTAAAAATACAAATCCAGATGATTAATACTAAATTTTCAGAAATGGATAACACACTGAAAGGGCAAAGGAGTAGAATCAAAACAATGGAATACAGAATAACTGAGATTAAAAATAAAACCCTGAACTTTGGAAAGGGATCAATCAGAAAAAAGATCAAAACAAAATGAAGAAAGCCTAAAATTCATGTGGGATACCATCAAAAGGAATAACCTACATGTAATCAAAATTCTAGAAGAGGAAGAAATAAATAAAACCATTGAGAAAATTGTCCAAGATTTGTTCGAAGGAAATTCCCGATGAAAGATGAGACTATATCCACTGAAGAAGTCCAATGAACCCCAAACAGGATAAACTCCAAAAGAAAATCACGAAGACATATCATAATCAAACTCACCAAAATAAAAGACAAAGAAAGAATCCTGAAAGCAGCATGGGAAAAATGGAAAGTAACCTACAAAGGAAAACCAATAACTAAGCTTAGATTTCTCAGGAGAAACCAGGATAGAAAGCAATGGGATGGTTTATATAAAACCCTGAAAGACAAAAATTTCCAACCAAGAACTGTCCCTTCAATATGATGGTGAGATTAGATTTTCAGATAAGTAGAAATTAAGGGAATTTGTGAAAACCAGACTAAATTTACAAAAGATACAAATGGAGTTCTTTGAACAGAGAACCAATAATAGCAAACGACAACTGATCATTAATACACAAGATGACATAACCCAGAAACCAACATAGCTATACAAGTATACAAATTAAAATAAGCTTACAAGATTGTAAACAAGGAGCCAGAGACATCAACTGGCAAATGGGGACAACTAAAAGCAAAAAAAGAGGGGAAAAATAGTGGAGTTTCAGAACTTCTAAATGGTGAGAAAGTCAGGAGAGTTGCAAGATAGAATGGACTGCTCTAAACTTGGGGGAAAAATGATAAATCACATGGTAACCTCAAAGAAAAAGGATGAACCTTCACATCACAATAAAAAAGAGGACTGTATTTAGCAAATACTAAAACAACAGCACAAAGGAAATAATAACAAAATTCATAAACAAGATGAGCTCAGCACAGAAAATTACATGGAACAAAGAAAGCAGAAACACCAAGAAAAAGCATGTAACAAAATGACACCAATTAATTCACACATGTCAATAGTTACACTAATGGTCCATGGATTAAATGCACCCACTCAGAGAGCAGAGTTGCAGACTGGATAAGGAAACATAACCTGTTCTGATTATCTAGTACCGCTCTAACAAGAATATACCACAAATGGGATGGCCTTAACAAACAGGAGTTTATTCTTACAATTTGGAGGCTTTAAGTCCAAGTTCAAAGTGCCAGGCTCAAGGGCCTAGGTGAAAGCCCCTCAACCTTGGGGTCCAGCTCTGCCTTCTGCTCCTAGCTCACTGGAGCTAGAGACATTTCTTCACTCAGACAGCTGCTGGCTGAGAAGCAACAAGATTGACAAGTAAAAAGGCACAATCCCTATGTTATCAATAAACACAGCAGTCCATTAACTTAAGTCCATTGTAAGTCACAAGGTCAGCAGAGCATGGCAGGCTACTGAGCAATGACATGGCTACATGCAGGGTCCAAGCGCGCCATAGGCTAGAGACCATTCTCAAAGCTTCTCCTTATATACTGGAAGCAGACCACATCCCAAAGGCAGCTACTCAGCTGCCTGTGGTAGACTCCATCATGGAGTTGATTGCCAGTCTCATCAAGGGGAATACTACATCTAGCTGCCCAGCCAAGCAACCAGGCCTAGCCAAGTTGACACACAAACATAACCATCACATAACCCAACAATATGCAGTCTACAAAAGACACACCTTAGACACAAAGACAAAACTAGACTAAAAATCAAAGGTTGGAAAAAGATGTATTAAGCAAATGGCAACCACAAAAGACCCAGAGTGGCAATACTAACTTCTGATCAAATTGACTTTAAGACAAAAACCACGATTAGAGACAAGGAAGAACATTACATAATGATCAAAGGAACAACTGAACAAGTAGATATAACCACAACCATAATAAATATCTATAGACCCAATGAAAGGGCCCCAAAACACATAAGTCAGAGTTTAGAAGAACGGAAAAGACAAATAGATGAGTTCACAGTCATAGTAGGAGACTTTAATATACCACTTTCACAGAAAGATAGAACAGGTGAAAAGAAACTCAACAAAGACACAGAAGAATTAAACAATACAATCCAC